ATATGCCAGGACCCCTGCGGTCTCTTATACACATCTAGATGTGTATAAGAGGCAGACCTTACATGTTCCTCCCAAGTTGTGGAATAGATTAATATGTCATCAATGTAGCTTACAACACCATCCATCCCCCTTAACAAAGAACGCATAATCCTGCTGAAAGAGGCGTGTGCATTTATTAATCCAAATGGCATTACTTTAAATTGAAAAATACCGTTGGGAGTAATGAATGCTGTTAAAGCGGTTTCGCTTCATCAACCATAGGTACTCGCCAATACCCTTTTGACAATCAATTTTTGTGAAATATTTACCCTTTCTTATCTTCGCAAACAATTCATCAATATCTGGTATCGGTTCTGCATCGAACACAGTGTTCTCGTTTAGACGTCTAAAATCAACACAAAATCTATTTGATCCATCAGGATTCTTCACTAATACAATGGGTGAAGCAAATGGACTGATCGATGGTTCAATTACATCTAATGATAACATAGTTTTAACTTCATCGTTTACAGTCTCCCTAAGAGTATGCGGAATTGGATCTGGCCTACCCTTTGGTAACTCAGATGACTTTAACTTTATATCATGCTGCCCTAAAGTCGTTTGTAATGGTAAATCGGTTAAAGTCTTCAAACCCCTTCAATACTTGCATTACATCTAGTTTCTGCAAAGTAGTTAAGCTTTCATTTATTACATCTTCAATGCTCTCTTTTGCTTGTAGCGGATATGGTTGCAGTAAAGTAGAGTTTGATAACATTTCTGTCCCATCTAAAGAGTCCCCATCGTCATCTTCTACCACAGCAGTGCATCCAGCATCAAGTTTATCATAACTCTTCTGGCCTGATGGTTCTGAATTCAAGCACCTGCTAAAATACTGCTTGATGTGAAATATTTTGCATTTACCATTCAAATCTATTTCATAATCAAACTCATTTAAAACTTTTGCTACTTTAAACGGCCCTTTCCACTGCAAAAGAACCTTATCAGTTGGTAATAGCAATAGAACATTGTCTCCAACACATAACTTACGACTTCTGGATTTACGATCATAGTAAGTCTTGTAACGTTTTGCAGATACCTTCAAGGCTTCCCTGGCTGCTTGACATGTCTCTTCTAAACGATTTTACAAATCTAGTACATACTGGTACATTGTCTTTGTTTCACCCGTCTGTACTCCTCCCGTCCATAATTCCCTAAGAATTGCCAATGGCCCTCTGACATGCCTACCATACAACAATTCAAAGGATGAGAAACCTAAATAAAAGTTCGTTTTGTATATCCAATGACAATGTGTTGTGCTACCTCCCAGAATCTTTATCACTGTAATAATGCATGCGTTCATGATTCAGTTAGCAGTGCTGCAAAGTAGAATGAAATATCCTAAATATTGTGATAGAGGCCAAATTTTTCCCCAAAACCCCCAAAAAGGAATGGGTGTCCGGGTGTCCTCCCTCGGGAAATTGTTAATTCCAAGATGGCGCGGGAAATGAGTTTTCCCGACAGGAGCTAAGTATCTTTTACGGACTTAAGGAATTTAAGTCCTTGAAAATTCAAGATTTTCCACCACCTCTTGAAAACGGTCAGGTAAACCTTCTCATTCATTCAAATAATCATGTTTTGTGTGTATACCATTCAAAAAAAAATTTAAAAAATGAGTAGCTGCATACGTGTTCTTCTTCCCATGAATCGATAAACCCAAAAGACAAAGGGGGGTTCGGGGTTCTCCCCCGGGAAATTTGTATTCCAGATGGCGGGGAAATAGCTTGTTCAAAATTCAAGGTTTCCACCCTTGAAAACTGTTAGGTAAATTTTTCTCATTCTTATTACAGTTAGGCCTATTATATGTGTGTGTACAGACACATAGACCTACTTTACATAGGCCTACTTTGCATAGGCCTAAGTATTCTTTTTTTACATAAATCGAAGAACCCCAAATATAGAAGGGGGTCGGGGTCCTCGATTTCTAGATGGCGGGACGGACATGAGCGCTCTCGGCTTCTATTTTTGTATTCAAGGTCTTTATTCTTTATAAAAACATAAATTAAAATTACAAACAGACAGTTAAAGAATGATTATGAGTGTATTGCAATAATTGCTTAAACATTTAAAAACAGAACACCAAAATTTAAGAAATTCATAACACTAACATAAAAAAAGAAACAATGGATAAAAGCACAGCATCAGACATAAATGCAACGATAAAAATGAAAGAAGAAACAAAGCATATAAAAACGCATTAATTAAAAATAGATTTTTTTTCTTCTTCTTGTGTTAAAAAAAAAATCAGCTCACGGGTCCTGAAAATGTGGGTCTAGAATTCTTTTTATTTTCCTTTTTTTCTTTGCCAAAGGAGGAATATGCCAGGACCCCTGATCCCCCAGATCGGCCCACCGTTGGGGACCTCAGCAACCCCTTCGGGCAGATCCTGGAGCCACCCTTGCCCTATTACATTAATCAAGTGTGATTATTTAAAATATGTAATCATCTGTACGTCATTAAGTTCAATTTTATTTATTCAATAATTTTAACTGGTGGCCATAACTTAAAGTTTGTATAAACTTATTTTGGCCTCCATCCACACACTTACTTATTTATTTAATATCTAATTTACAGTATATATGTATGTATGTGTGTGTATGTGTGTATATGTATGTGTATATTATACATTTATGCATATGTATATGCATATATATGTATATATATATATATATATATATATTTTTTTTTTCATATCTACTTTTGTAATGTTAGTTAAGTTTGAATACATTGTACTATTTATAACCAAAAAAAACAAACAAACAGACGGTATTACCAGTTTTACAGGGATAAATAAAAAACAATTACAAAAATAATAACATAAAGATAGTTTTAAAATAGCAATCAAATTATACCATTTAAGGATTTCTAATTGTTTTCGTCATGTTAGCTTACTATTACAAAAGTGGACAAATAGAGAATGTGTCAAAATGAGTCAATAAATAGTGAAAATACAATAAAACCTCGAATGAACCCAATAGGATTAATCTCGAGAAAAAGCCCATCTCGAATTAAAGCCCCCGCTTTAGTTTGCAGTAGTCTCGAAATGAAGCCTATCTCGAAAAAAACCCATGTTCTTCTTTTCAAGATAGCATGGGCTTTTTTCGATAGTTCAGTACATAGACTTACATGAATGTCAAAGAAACAAAGTGAACTCAAAACAGGAATGTTTTATACTATGTTGTAGGTGTTTTAAAGCCGGTTAATACACTCCATGATACGTATTGATGCTACAGAATCCCACTTTATTGTTTTATAGTAGTAATTCCAAAAATTTACAGCAGTCATTTTGAAACAATTCACCTACTTATTTACTTTGCAAAAGTAACCTCGAAAAGAAGCCCATCTCAAAAACTAGCCCATCCAGATTTTGTTAAAATAAAAATTAAAAAAAATCAGGGCTTCAATTCGTGGTTTTACGGCATCAAACTGGACCACTACAAAACCATAATTATTATATCTGCACAATGCACAGTTAATGCAATATTAAACTAAACAGCTCTCAAAAAGCGTTTACGTACTTTATATTAACAATGACCATTATATACAAAAATTAGTATATTCTATTAAGTAAATATAAAACAACACACAAGCATAATTCTGCAAGAAAAAAAAACCCTACAGATTACAAAATGTATTATTATTATTATTATTGTTATTGTTATTGTTATTATTATTATTATTATTATTATTATTATTATTATTATTATTATTATTATTATTATTATTATTTGACTGATGTAGATTCATCTATCCAGGTTGACAATAATAAATATCAATTAAAACTTTAAATCTCTGGATAAAGCAGAAAACAAATGAACTTACGATTTAAGCTTTTGACTATCACTATTATTATTATTATTATTATTATTATTATTATTATTTATATACAATAGCTGAAAAATAATAGTTCTCTAATAGGAACATAAGATTTATAATTTTATCAGATATAAACATTTTTTGTTACTTGAATTATAGGCCTATAAATGTATACAAAGAGAATTCAAATAACAAACATGGACGCTTCTCCTCTCTATTACATATAGCTTTAGAAGGTGTTTAAAGCCTTGGCTTCCCCTATCATATCATTGTCTTTAAGTTTTTTAATGAATGATTCCTTTATCGTTGGGTCGTCAGTGAGTTTAAGATTTTTTTCAAGTTGAAATATCAGACCCCACTGATCTGTTTGTTTGTCAAGATCAAACAAATCGCCTATGGCTTCAATGTTATCCGTGTCAATAACATTACCAAATTTCATCAAATTTTGTCGGTGTTTTGAGAATCTACAGATTACTATTTTACTTAATCCTGGGAATGTTGGTATCGTTTTCTTGATTTTCTCCTCTACGCCACGCTGTCCTCCCAAAACAGCGGCCTCGACAAGAACAGTAATGTCTGCTGGGCTGATATGTCCAGGACCCAAAAGCAATCGAAACAGAGCATTTGGTTGATTCTTCTGCTCTATCTGTGCTACTGGAATGTCCTTAAATTCGCTAAGTATTACTTTCAGAATGCTGATGTTACCCAACTTTTTCCACCATGATGACACGTCTACGAGTAGTTGATTGAAGTCTTCCTGTGAGAGCTCTTTAAAAACAATGGTTGGTTATTATTTTTTTTTAAATTATAATTATTTTATTTATTATCAGTTGTATGAATTTATTCATTTTTATTTAAAATCCATAAGACTATATCATTATTATTATTCTGCATAGATTAATATAATCACAAGACTGACCCAAGCTATGTTTGAGTTAGTGGTGTGTTTCATTCTTAAAATCCTGAGCTGCACTGATGAGATCTAACAAGATCGAAACGGTACTGTCTGCAGATTGGAATATTTACGCTCCTTTACATTGTGCTATTAAGGTAGTACATTGTTTTGTAGAGCACTCTTATTTTAAGATGGTGCATTGTTTATGCGATACTATTTTGCATTTTGCATAGCACACTCATTTTGGGTTTGTGCACTCTTGTATTCATAATCAGTGTACCACGTCACACAAGACTGACCCAAGCTATGTTTGAGTTAGTGGTGTGTTTCATTCTTAAAATCCTGAGCTGCACTGATGAGATCTAACAAGATCGAAACGGTACTGTCTGCAGATTGCAATAATATATATATATATATATATATATATATATATATATATTAGGCCTATAAAATAATATATTCAATCAACTAACTTGGCATAATGTACGGCTCTTCCTGTAATATATCCTTATTAGCTCTATCAGTATCAGGTGCATCCGTAGTCGAGGAAGGACGAAGCGTAGCTATCGATGTATCTCCAATATCTGCAGATAAACGATATATCTGAAAAAGTGCTTACCAGAAGCCTACGTTATACTTGTGTTTACTTATTTGAGTATTTGATAATGTAATTATTTTATTTATCTATTTTAATATGCACTGACAAACACTCAATTAAATTACAAGTATGATACAAAAAAAGGGAACTGATATTTGTTAATGTTGAAGATTTGCAGGTGTTATACCCACATTATCAGGGAGAATGTGAATTATTATCATGTAAAAAAAAACATCTATGAAGAAGGGTAATTATAGGTTGTCGAATTGTTGAAAGGTGAAATCAGATTACTTAACATTGTTTTAAACTTCTCTCAATAAAAGAGGCTGGGTGTGTGCCATGGACATTGTAAAATATTATATACGCCAAATTCAGATATGAGTATCACATGAGGGTGACCAGAGGCATTTTTTTTATTTGACAAACAAATAAGTTAATTACATTTCTCTACACGCCAATTTTCCTCTGTACCTATCATCAATAATTAATTCAACACTTTCCAAGCCGATTTCCAAAAAAATAGGTGGGTGGAAAAACATTAATTTGGCCTAAGGGAATAAATCCAATGGTGGCCAAAATCCATGTGATATCGAAAAAAAAATGGTAAAGGTTACCTTCCGTTAGTGCCTTTAATGCCCGACGGAGATTAAGTGTTGTCAAAGATTCAATAAAATCATCCATTTTTCCTTTGACGATTTCTAAATTGTCTTCTAGATCAATGATCATACTCCAACTGTCTGGATACCTCTTAAGAGGTTCGTTATACAACCCATCTATTTTGGTCACATCGGCTAAAATTAGTGTCATCCCAAGTTTCATTAGCTTTTGTCTGTGAAGTTCGAATTTTGTTGAAATGTTTCCTTCCTTAACATCAGGAAAAGATGGAAATTTATTCTTGAGCTCCTTCCCTAGAGCAAAATGTTTAGTTATGCTGATGGTATCATGCAGGAGAGTAAGATCATCTGGACCAAAATGACCACGCGCACTCAAATCATTCAGCAAGTCCATCACGCAAGTTATTTCTGCTAGTGTTTGATCAGCTACTTTATCTCTAAACAATACTTTCAACATACTAAGACATTTGTTGTCGTCATAACAACGAGCTACGTCTGTTTTAAGAGCATTGAACTTTCTAACGGTCATTCCTATAAATGAAAATGATTATTTAAGATATTAATCTGTATACTATATCATTAGTATTTTAAAATGCTTTAATTAATCAATTTAAAAAACAAAAAAAAACTAAACATTATAAGGTTTGCCAGAAAGTGAATACTAATCAATCAAACAAACCAGTGTTATAGCAAAAATTTAAATAATTTTGGAAAAAATGATATATATTTAAGCATTCCGCTCTATTATGAACTATTACTACTATCTGTTGTTCCTGGTATCCTTTGAAGACTAGCATCGCTAGAGCAATATACCTGTATTTTCTAAGGTAGTGAAAAAGTTGTGTCATTATCAAGACAGGTTGAAAATAACTTATTATGAAAGTACAGTATTAATCTGGTTCTGAGGACATATACAGTAGTAATGAAGCAGCACTGCTAATGGTTCAATATTTTGGTCTCATGCAATATTATCCTCATACTATTACTATACTATCATATTATTAACATAATTTAATAACTTTATACTTAGGCCTAAAACAAAACATCTAATGCAATCTCCATTTTTTTACCTCCGTTTGATGCCATGTTGCTAATAAGATGCGTTTATTTTGCAACTTCGGTTATTCCTGAAATGAGAATCGTTATATAACAATCAACTATAAATAAAAATAGTCCTACCATCTTACCTTTATATATATATATATATATATATATATATATATATATATATATATATATATATACATTTTTGTATCTCTATTGAGATCCAGCCATTGTTTCCCACAGCATTGTTGTTTTTCAGTATTTTGCCTTTTAATCTATATATCATTTTCTACTGTTTGTATCATTTTGATCCAACTCTGCTGTAATTTTGGAGGGTACTGTGGAAAATTTAAAATTTCTACGACGCTTGTCGGAAAAACGTGTCAGGTATCGTAACCATCTTATTATTTATCTTGAACATCGTTCTAACAATTCGGCTCCTAAAGGACTACAATTTCATGTCAGGTCTGGTATTCCATTCGCAGATCGTGACTTCCATTCCCGCTGGAATGGCGTCCTTAACAAAAATGCATGTCGATTAAATGAGGTCCTAATTGGCAACTGCCGCAAACTCCTCAAAGACATCGACAACCAAATTCACTTTAGGACTAGAAGGCTAAAAAGACACCTTCCTATATCTGAGTTTCAAAACAAACTCAAGATTATTGCCAAGGATTGCCTTAAGCTTTCCAAGGAACTTTCCCTGAGGAGACAACACAAATTTGGTCGAGACGATATCACTTCAACACAAGTGATCAAACCTTCGCACAATGTTTGGCTTTCACGTAAACCTAGAAGGTTCATTCGACGCTTTAGTGATAATCCGTGCAACACCACGGATTCAGTTGTTCAAATTAACTGTCAGCTTTCCGAAGGAGAAACCAAACTTCTATCCCGAGGACTCAAATTTTGCCCAAAACCGAAGCAGGCTGACCCACAACAACTATCTTTGGATCTAGAAGCTTTCTTCAGACGTTTAAGATGCCGTGAATTTTTCGCCGATTCCGATTCCGACGGCAACACCACGGATAACACGGGCAATGTTACTAAATTCAAACCTAAAAGTACCTGGAATCCCCCTAAGAATCGTTGCCCAGCTTTAGAAACTTTCATTCAGGCCATTGAGGAGGACGATAAAAACCACACTCCTAGTCCAGATTTCCGCGACAATCTCACAAAAAATGAGAGGCAGGCCATCGCCAATTTGCGTCAGCGTGATGATATTATCATCAAACCAGCTGATAAAGGCTCTGCCACTGTCGTAATGGACATTAAATTCTATGAAGAGGAGTCCTTAAGACAACTAAACAATCCTCTTCACTATCGGAAGCTCACAGAGGACCACACTCTGGAAATTTCTAAGGAAGTGGAAAAATCTGTATTAAAGATGGTTAAAAAAGGTTCCATCGATCCCAAAATTGGACCCCATCTCATCCAGGTCGATCCGGCACCAGGACGTTTCTATGTCCTACCAAAATCCACAAAGCAGGCCATTCTGGCAGACCCATTATTTCGGGCAACGGTACTGCTACAGAAAAAAATCTCTGAATATGCGGATGATTTATTGAGACCAAATGTTGTTGCTCTTCCCTCGTACATTCAGGACTCCACGGACTTTATCCGCAAAATTAACCAAATTTCAAATTTACCTAATAATATTGTTCTGGCTACACTTGATGTTTCGTCATTGTATACTAATATCCCTCATGAAGAAGGTGTTAATGCGTGCATTTCAAATTACAAGCAAATTCGGGGCAAAACCCCATCTAAATCACATCTCCGTGAAAGACAGTGCTGATTCTGACCAATAATAACTTTGTTTTCGGCGACGGTCATTACCTTCAAATTCATGGCACAGCGATGGGCACCAAAATGGCTCCATCTTTTGCTAACTTATTTATGGGACAATTTGAGGCCAATTTCCTGTCCCTACAGCCCAAGAAACCAGATGTTTGGTTTTGCTACATTGATGATATCTTCATGATCTGGACCCATGGTGAAGATAGTTTGGATACGTTCCTATTGAACATTAATTCGGCTCATCCCACAATCAAATTCACTGCTAACAAATCCACAAGCAGTGTAGATCTTTTTGGACATTACCGTGACCATGGAAAATGGTGCACTTAAAACTGATCTCTTCCGTAAACCCACGGATAAGCATATGTACCTGCTCCCTAGCAGCTGTCACCCCCCGCACTGTACAAAAAAACATTCCATACAGCCAAGCATTGCGCATGAGACGCATTTGTTCTTCGGATTTAGATTTTCAGAATCGAACAGATTCAGAAAGAACAGAAGAACTATCCGGACATCTCCGGAATAGAAATTATCATCGAGGACCCATTGAAAATGCTATAAAAAATCAAAGGACATACCTCGTGCTCAAACACTGACGTACAAACCACGTCAACGATCGACCAAATTGCCACTGGTCACTACCTATCACCCTAGGTTACCACCACTAAGGGCTATAATTCAGAAGCATATGCCC